GGAGCATATGTGTCAAATAATCAACTCCTTCTTTTTGTCTAAAACCTTTTGCCACTAGTCTTGCTTCGAAGGTTTATAAAGAACCATCAGTATTATATTTTCTCCTAAACACCCATTTACATCCGATTGGTTTGCAACTAGGTAGTAAGTCAACCAATACCCATGTTCCATTTGATAAAAGTGAATCCATTTCATTATTTATCGCTTCCTTCCAAAAAACTGGAATCTCTTGATGCCATTGCATCACTATAAGTTTTAGGATCTTCTTCCAAATGCATAACAATGGGTATTTTGTTTAAAATCTCATTTCTATTTCTACTTCCTTCAACCAAGAAGACTATTGCTTGTGAATAAATAAAAATCAGAATCCAAGTTCTTCTCTTTTCTTACCCTTTAACTTCTCTTAGGTTCACTAGGAGATTCAACTCATTTCCGTTTATTATTTAAAAAACTTTGATCCATCTTAATGTCTTGTATAATTAGAAGTTCAACATTTTCTCTATTCGATTGTTGATTGACATTTGAATTTCCAAGAAAACTTGTTTCTAAAAATTTAACGTCTCTAGACTCTATGATAGCATTCGAGTCTATATCCAACAATCTATATGCTTTTAAATTTTCAGCATAACCCACAAAGACACTCTTAAAAGCTCTAGGTCTTAATTTGGTTCCTTTAGGATCTAGAACTCTATAATAGGCTATACAACCTCATACTCTCAAATAGCTTAAGTTTAGCCTTCTTCCTTTCCATATTTCATATGGAGAAGTTTTTATTTTTCTTTGAGGGTATTCTATTGTGCATATGACAAGCTATTAATAGAGCTTCTCCCTATAGATTTGTTGGTAGTTTAGCATGCATAAGCATAACATTAATCATATCTACCAATGTTTTATTCTTTCTTTCAGCCAATCATTTATTGTAGAGTGTAAGGTGCACTCATTTGATGAATCAAACCATTTTTTTCACAAAAAACAGTAAATTCAATTGAAAAATATTCACCTCCTCGATCACTTCGTAGGATTTTAATTTCTTTTCCAATTGATTTTCAACCAATGTTTTATAACATTTAAACATGTCAAATGTTTGATCTTTAGTTCTTATTAAATAAACATGAGTAAACCTTGAATGATCATCAATGAAAGTAATAAAATATATATTTCCTCCTTTAGTTAAATGACCATTTAATTCACATATATCAGAATGCACAAGTTCAAGTGTTTCAGTTGTTCTTTCATTCTTTGGAAAAGGTTTCTTAGTAATTTTTGCTTGTATACATATTTCATATTTTCCAAAATTTTCATTTGTGCATGGAATTAAACCATGCCTAGACATGTACTTAATTGATCCATAATTAACATGTGACAAACGAGCATGTCATAAATTAAAAGGAGACTCAAGAATATAAACAGAAACATCAACTTTATTAATGCTCAACTTAAATATTCCATCACATGAATACCCTTGTCCAACAAAGACACCATTCTTAGAAAATATAATTTTTTTTGCCTCTAAGACACCCTTCAAACCCTTCTTGCACAACAAACTTGCAGATATCAGATGCTTTCTCACATCAGGAACATGAAATACATTCATTAAACTACAGTTCAACAGTCCCTTTTCCAAGCACTTTGTCAGTATCATGATTCCCCATCATAACACTTTTCATCATTTGATGCAACTTCATAGTTCTTGAACAAATTTTTGTCATTACAAACATGCACTGTCGCACTAGAATCATACCACCAGTCTGCAGTTTTGTTAGTTGTTGCCATGCATTCTGTAATCATGCTTATTTTCAGTTTAGCAACCATGACTATAATTTCAGAAGGACTTGGAGAATGTTCAACAATATTGGCCTTCTTTTGTCCAGCGTTTGCCTCTGTCTTCAATCTCTTATAGAACCTGCACTCTTTCTTAAAATGACCATTCTTGCCACAGAAAAACCATGTTTTGTTCTTCTTAAAGTTGGTAGAATTATTACTTGAAGATTCAGCATACATACTTCCTTTTATTTCTAGAAGTATTACAAGTATTTGTTGATTTCTTCGTATTAGACTCAATATTATTTACTTTAGAACCAAACTCTGAAGCATTTTATTATCACGACTACAATTTTCGTTTTCTATTCGGATATGCTTCATGAGTCGGTCTATGATAAAATCTTCAGAAGTATGTAACAATTTCTTTCGATAATCGTTCCAAGTAGTAGACAATTTTGCAATTACCACAGCCACTTGAAGTTGTTCAGACACTTTTATTTTAAAATCCTTGAGTCTAGATACTAGGACAAACAATTCATCTACTTGTTCCATGACAGATTTATTATCAAATATTTTGAATTCAAAAAATTTCATACTGAGAAATCTGTTTGTACCTTGCTTGACAGATGTATACTTCTTCTCCATGGCACTCCAGATTTCTTGTGGGGATTTGATTGAACGAAACAGATCTTACAATCGATCAGACAGTGAATTTAGAATATAGCCTCTGCAGCGAACTTCATCTTCCATGTGTTTCTTGCGGGTTGCTATAATTTCTTCATCCTATTTGTCAGATAGTTCAGGAATAGTTGACAGATTTTCACTTAGCAGATACGCAACACCCAATTCAATAAGCAAGAAAAGTAATTTGTACTTCCAACGTGTGAAATTCGTTCCATCAAAATGATCCAACTTGGACACTTCAGGATTGAACTTGAAAACAAAATTCGAACCAGTAACCGAACCAATAGCCTCCATTGTTACTTAATTTCCTTAAGATTGTTAGCAAAATAATTTCAACAGATTAGAAGGCTTTGATCGTGTATTCACTCTCCTTAAGGAAATTATGCCCCCACCATGTTGCTGTTGGGTTTATGACAAATTCCTCTAGGATTAACAAAGTCAAACATAATTTTAGATAGCAAACTCTAAAATTCTTCCAATAACAAAATAGAGAAACATTATAATATATTGAAGGATCTGTACAGGTATTTATAATATCTTAGAGATGTAAAAGAGAGACACAACTCTTGGGTCAAAGAGATGTAAAGAAGAGACACAACTCTTGGGCCTAGAGATGTAAATAGGAGACACAACTCTTGAGCCAAGAGATATTAATTAGTACAAAAATAATTAATCGTTTATAAAGTTCAATGCCCATCTTTTGACTTTAAATATTATTTTATTTAAAGCCTAAATAAGGCCTATTGATTTAAAATATTTGGAGCTTCCCTCTAAATTTTCTTACCATCCAAATTTATAAAATTTGATGTATTTCTTATTTTAAACTCGTACACTCCCTTTTAACTTTTCTAATGTGGGATACCTTACATTACTAACTATTTCTAACATAGAAAATCAAGGATGACAAGCAGATCATCAACAAGGTCCTTGAATATCACTTTCTCCCGCTCTGCAGGCTGATCAGAAAGACCATAGCCCCTGTAGTCAGGAGCTATTGCTCGAAAGCCAGCATTAGCAACTGCTATCATCTGATACCGCCATGAATACCAAATCTCAGGGAAACCATGTAGGAAAACCACTGCGGGACCTGCATAAATATAGATGAAGAGACAATGCTTTAAACATATGATGAAGAAGTGGGTATCAATTTAACAGAAGAAACATTGCACTGGACCTTCTCCGATCTCTGCCAAATGAAGTTTGAGCCCCCTTACTTTCAAGTATTTGTGTTGGATCTTCTCCATTTTGGTAAGAAAACTGGAGATGCACGGAAGAATTAGAGACTGGAGGCTATAAATTAAGAGGTCTCCTTACACTTTAGTCACCTAGTAGGTGACCATATGTTTCAGTTCTTCCTTTCTTTTTCAATATTTGTTTTGGATGAATGATACTTTACACCCCTAAAAGATATTAAAATTTATAATAGACACACCAAAAGATTAAGTATTCAGATTGGACCCTCAATTAGGCAAATAGGTAAGAATGTGGCCCAAAACAACAAATTTGCTGCTTTCTGTGACATTTTTGTTGTGTTGAAGTCTCTATATTTTTCTATTTCTATGCTTGATTATTTGTATGTTACTCAGTTTTAAGTATTTTACATGGAAATATTATACTCAATTATCAAATCAGGCGATTCAGGATACATTACTCTCTATTTTTTTTTAATGTGATTGACTGTGCAATTTAAAAATTTTAATCTTTTGGAGTGCAAATTGAGAATCCAAATTTTTTTCAAGGTGTAAAGTGTAATTTTTCAGGAGGGGGTACCTTGATACATTTTTGCATATTCTATTGTCCATAATACTATTTAAATCTAATTTATCAATTAAATTTATTGATCTAATTCATCGTAGCTATGAATTGATACAGAATCCCAACCAATATTGGTACTCAATTTTAATCTGATAAAAGTAGCATTGATCTTGAAAGTGTTGTGTGAAAGAGACAAATCTAATAAATCGGTTCATTTGTGTCATTGATTATACACAACAACTCTTTACAGCCCATGGTACATGCTATATCCATCTCTATTTAAAACAATAATGTTATACACATTACCTTTATGTATCATCTTTCTTCACTATTTCAATATCAATAATTAGATTAGTAGATTTTATTAAATTTATTAATTAAATATTTAAAAATTGAGATAATACCACGGTATTCTAGACAGATGGTGTACATATCATTATTGTATCAAAAAAAATACTGACCATTGATGCCACAAGATTTACTTCAACAAGGGTAAATTGGGTTTTGTACTTGAAAATATTTTTAGAACTTTTACTATACTTTCTCATCAAGGACATGAAACTATTGATTTCTCAAAATGATAGCAATGTGCCTCACTCAATCAATGAGGTCAAATTGTTTGGTCAATTGACATCTCATGTTTCATGCAATTGATCTGTTTATGGTGTAAGGTAAAATTTTGAAAATATTTTAGGGGGAAAATGACATTACGATATATTTTTACCAATAAAAAAGCAAGCATCGTCTAGTTGTTAGGGTCATTGTACAATTTTCAAAACTTAAGGTGCAAGGTGCAAATCCGTTTCCAAATAACTAGTTTCTCTGACTTATTTAAAATTTTGAATTTTAAATAAAGTGTGAATTTTGGCCTTCATGTAAAATTTTGAAAATTATTTAAAATTCTCCCTCATTGAAAAGTAAGCCAAAAAATATCAAAGGCAAATTTAAGCAGATTTGGATATACAAAAAATGGACTTGATTGTGAACCGGTATCATTATATGTAGATACACTAATTAAAATTAAGTGATTATTAAATAATTGTGTTGAAATTAAAATTTATTTTATTGAAATTCAACTCTGGTTTAATTATTCGAATCAAATTAATTTTTATTTTTATAATCGATTTGGATGTGAATTGTAAAAATTAAGCTTGTTTGACAATTCAGATTAAATTCGGATAGAGTTTTTAAATTAGAAACGAATCAATCAAAATCATATCCAAATCTTACCTTGACTAGCCTATTAATTATTAATTTGTAAGGCGCAACAAGTATTAATGATGGTCACCCATTATTCTTTTCAAAATCATATTTGCCCCCTTTATGAAATGGTCCTAAGTTTGTCCCTACATTGATGTAGAACAAGTAGCTACTGATTACTTAGAGTAGGAGGACCACCTTGCATCCAAGGCCTAAAGAAAAGAAAAAAAGTGATAATAGAGACAAAATGACTCGGATTCAGAATTGATTGAAACTAGTGATGTTTGATCTGAATCGGGCCAATAATTAGGACTCATCGCTTTGTCATGAGTTCTTTCAGTTTTTGGGCCGAATTCTATTGTTTAGACCTTGATAATTTTGTTTTTGCCGTTTTAGGAAAGAATTCAAAAATTAATAATAAATTATAATATATTTCGAATTCAGTGTCGTCAGTTGAGTTAGATTTCGGACGACATGTTCTTTTGTGTTAATTAATTAGATTAGGGTTTTAACTGTCCCTATATACATTTTCTTATGTAATATGAATTATTCATTGAATAATATAGCTTTTCCAGAGATATTCTCTTATTACTCTCTTTGTGGATTCAGAGTATTTGTTCTATACACTTAAAATCATAGTATTCTTTATATCTCTTTGTTCGCTTCATCATGCATATATCTATCTAGCTAGATTGTATGGTTCATGTTCGAACCACACAAATAATATTTCGACATTTAAGATCACATTTTTTATATCTAATTATCTCCAGAACCCAAAATCTCGTGTATTGAGAGTTATGAGGAAATCAACAAAAAGTCCCTAGCTTGGATGGAAATTGTACATTGTAAGCACAATTTGTTTCTATAACAAGTAAAAGCCTAGTGCAGACAGTGGCCAGTCTCTGTCATGGATGAAAATTCTACCAAAGTTTATCCGAAACTGATTCCTTACTATTTTCCATGGTTAGGTAAAATGCTTCTCTTATGTCATTAAAATGACTTCATATTAACGCTTGTCTATTTTCCATGGTTCACATTAACTTCCGTTGCAATTTTCGTCAAAGTTACTATATGATCCCCACACTAAATGCAGCGAGTTTTGACAGAAATGACAACATAAGTGTGAGGGTCACATTACAATTATTTTATAATATTGAGAGTGCAATGTAAAAAAATTAATAATTAGAGGTGCATATTGATAAATTTAAAATTTTTTGAGGTACAAAATTCGATTCATGCTTTTGTTTTTTTTATGAGAGTGTCCTCCCCAAGGAAAAGGCTATTGTATCAGAAAAAAAATTTGTCAATACGAATATTGAAAAATACAACTGCTAAATGTCAAGTTTCATTTTATAAATGATAAGCTATAAATGTTCATGATTTACTTAACCTTTAATCCTCTGTTTGGTATGATAAAAAAAATGGAAGGATGGAAAGTTGAAAGAATGAAAAATTAGAGAGATAAATAAAACATCATGTTTGGTAAGGAAGAAAAATAAGAAGGATAAAAAAATGAATGAATTAACTTTCTTTCCAACTCATAAAAATCAATCCCTCCAAAATCAAAAGAAAAGTTGATGAAAAGTTAATTATTTGTGTTGATATATATTTTATTTGTCTATATATCTTTTAATATATACATATATTATGTATACATTAATTTAAAATAAAAATAAAATGATAAAATATGTAATTATATATATATTTTAAAAAATTTAAAAATAAAAAAATAAAAATAGAATATTAACTTTAAATTTTTTATTCAAAATTTATGTGGATCAACACGAATACGAACACGACACGAAAATAAACGGGCCAACTCGCAACTCGATACGACACAATTAGTTAAATTAGTTAAGTTATGTTTAACTAATATTCGACATAAACCTATAATGAATCAACACGAATCTAACACGACACGATCCATCTAACTAAATACAAAAGAAATAAAATGTATCATTCCTACTTTTCTTCCTTGAAGTATAGAAAGTGTATTCCTCGTACTTTTTATCTGTCCTACTTTCTATCATTCCTACCAAATGAAAGATAAAAATAATAATTTTCAGTATGACACCTCCTTCGATTCTATGATAAAAAATTTGCAAAACATCGAAAGAATAGAGCAAAAGGCATGCCAACCTTAATGTTTCCTGTCTTATACAATATCATCATTCTGTTTTCGACAGCAGAAACACAGGCTACGCAAAAAGAAAACATAGAAAGGAAATTTGATCCATATACCAACATTAAGACATAGGATGTTGAGAAAGGTAGTGGCTTCCAAGTTCCAATCCTTAGGAAATTATAATTAGCAGAGTGATTAATCAAATGTGCTTGTTGAGGAAGGTGATAAGGAGCTGGTTCACCTTGTCAGGCAACTGCTCTTGGACGAAATGGTTTCCCTCTGGTATAAATATTACCTCCAAATCAGGAACATAGTTTTTGACTATACCAATCCTTATGTACTCCTCCAATCCCCAAATTTTAATGCATAATCCTTTTCACCCATGATCAGCATTGCCGGAACTGTCACTTTCTGTTCTTCGACTCCATAGTCTTCGAGCCAACCCCTGCCCAAATCCTCAAAATCCTTCCGTCAAACATAGAGATGACATAGTCCAATCCAACCCCCTCCTCCTCCCCAAAAAAAAATCTTGTTGCAATGTTGATTTGCTAATTGGATCAATTAATGACGATTATACGATTTTTGAAATTATACCTTTTAACTTAAGTTTGATGTTGCATAGAATTGAATGGAAGGTGTAATGGTAGTTATACCTGTATGGCACCTGCAGTGCAGTTTGAAAACCAGATTTCTCGTATAGCGCTGCATAGTTTTCAAGATCTTCCTCGGTGAACCAGGGGGGAAGCGGCGTGGACGGATCAACCAAGTCCATTATCTCCTGATCCTCGTTAGCTACTTGTAGTTCACTTCTTGTGAAGAGGAGACAGATGTTTTTCACCACGGTCTTGACATCAAAGCGGCCAAAGTCCTTTTCAGCTCTCCCTGGCTCCTAATAAAAAAGGCATGGGCAAGTAAGAAAGTAGGAGATCAGAATAAACAGTTTGCAGTTTATCGGTATTCAGTAAGTGCAATGACATAAATTTACCCGCCATCTCATCATATAGAAGCCTTTTGGGAGGGTATCTAGAGACATTCCTCCTGGACCAGTGACAATGAATGGTAGACCTAGTGTCACAACTGCTGAGACCCTGTCTGGGTAAAGGAGTGCAAAGTGGTAAGCTGGTCGAGGTCCAAAGTCCTTGGCAACAAGAAAAACCTAGACAT